GTATTATAAAAATCTTTTTATACAATCTAAAAAAAATAACAACTATATAATAATTAAATATCCAGTTATTAAATTGATTATTATATTAAAATCTTAGATATTAAACATAATATTAAGCAGAGCCTTTGTTAAAAAGATCGGATGAAAACATGAGAAATGCGGATGTTTGGAAGCGTAAAAAAAGTTCGCAAAACATACATAGACTACGTTTACATGTCACCCTTAATCGGGTTTAATAACATCCGTAGTTTTAAAACTGATCACAGTCATTCCATTCTTCAGAAGAATAGCTGTGATCGGCCAGTTTTAAATTTACGGATGTTATTAAACCCGATTAAGGATAACGTGTAAATATGGTCAAAAACAGGAAACAAAATATACATAAACTTCCGCCTTATCATGTGCATCTATATATGCACATATAATTTACCTGACATTTATCCAATCTAGAATATTTTGCAGCACAAAGATTGCACTCGATATTGTTTTTATCTCGCATCGTTATGTTACTCCGCACCTTCTTTGCGTACTTGTTCATAATGTCCATGTCTACTAGATAGTAGATCTCTATGATCTGCTTTTGTTCGTTGGTAATCAACTCGGAAATTTTGCTGTGTTTGCGCTTCTCCTTGCATCCGCTGATTATTGACGATCCGGACAAGGCAGTACTCTTGTTATTTTGGGAAGAGATCGTATTCAATTCAAGGGGGCAAGCTTTCTTTGGAACGATCAAAGGAGACCTTCCAATGTTATCTGGTACTGTGAGATTACTAAATTCGAAGCTGCTGCTTCTATTTAATTCCGCCTCGTCACCAGGCGGTGGACTGTTGTTTACCGCGACGTTCGTGACGTTCCTGGGTTTGTTCTTTTGCATGCCGACAGGTTCCTCCTGCGTCCATAAATTTGTGGCAGTTTGTGCATTCGAACAGTTTTAGCGTAGGCAGCTACGCCTAAAGCGATTCCCACAACTTTGATTCTTTGGCGATGCCTAGTAGTATTAATAACAAATAATAATAATAATTAAATAACATAGAACATGAAGCGTATGATAAATATAAAAATAATGTGTATTGGTAATTATCCATAAATAATTATATGCTATTTTATATATATACAGGGTGTATCATTTTAAGTGATGCAGCTGAATATCTCTTAAAGTAAAAGAGATTGGAAAAAATGTTTCAGACAAAAGTTGCATGGTTTCGAGGTCACATGATAAAAATATGGACTTGACCTTGAGTGACCTTTTCAAGGTGAAGTCAATGTGATCGGTTTTCTTAAAAAAATCAATTGATATAAAAAAATAATTGTTTTCAAGAAAAAGTATGTAATTGTTTATAATGTATTCTTTAAACAATTATTTTTTTAATATATATTGTATATACATTATATAAATATACACACTTCCAAGAAATAATTAAAGTTAAAGGTATGTTTTAACACTAACGTCGATGATCAGCGAGTCTGTGTTAAGGGCCGTCTACAATGGCAGTAACAAGGCTGTAGGAGTAGGAGAATATACTGTTTTTAGTCATGTAAAGACCGAGAGTAACGAAATGGGCAATCCCCATTTGCTCTTAAAAGTTTTAAGAGCAAATGGGAATTGCCCATTTCGTTACTCTCGGTCTTTACATGACTAAAAACAGTATACTCTCCTACTCCTACAGCCTTGTTACTGCCATTGTAGAATGCCCTTTAGTCAAATGAGTTTCTTTTCTCAGATTCTCCGACAAAGTCCTTATCTGACGTTTTATACCGTTCCTTGAGGATATCGTGTTTTCTTTGTCCTCAACATTATTCTCGTCGTTAGCCTCCTCCTTTTGATTATAAAAATTTATTTAACAAAGAAGCATTATCGGAAAACATGAAAAAGGGTATTCAGCATTAACTGTATAAATACTATATAATCTTGATTATACACACACATTAATACATGTAAAAGTATATATATATATTTTTTTATATATTTTAATACACATATATACATAGAAATTAAACACATCTGTATATAAATTTAAAAATGTTAAAAAATATATTATCTCTTATCCTGTTCTCTTGTATAGAAAAGTAGAGAGAAGGAAAGAAAGCTCTAAAAGATACATATGTATATCCTAAAAAAGTATTATGTATTGTTACAATTTTAAAAAATATGACTAGGAGAGAGCGATTGTGATGCTTTTATGCATTATGCTCTTATAATTTTATGTAGAAGTACTGGACTAATAAATGCAAAAGGACTGATGAAAAATAGTGAATAATTAGATTTTTGAATTTTTGGCATATATCAAGTACATAAATTCTAATATCTTAAATAAGCCATTTTGTGTAAAAGTTTTGTTGCGAATAATACTTACAATAGTAGACCATATAAGTTTCTTCTGAATTTCATGGCAGTTGTCATAGAACGCGCACGTAAAATTTAACTTTTCGAGGCAAAGCCTACAAATTTGTTGCGGCATAATATCGTCTGTCTTGATCTGAAATATTTCAATAAATAATTTTAATGAAAAAATTACTGTTATTAAAATATACTATTTTTTATTATGTCGATATATTATATCAGTCTAAATAAACTTGCAATCTATTAAACACAAAAATTATTAAAATATTGGGTTGGAAGAAAAGAAACGTCGTTGTTACTTTTTGACTTTTTTTTTGTTTCTAATAAAACACATTAAAGTCATCTATTGAGAATACGACATTACTTTCCTTCCAACCCATTATTAATTAGCCTAAATTTGTAATAATAATAATATCTTTATTACGTCAATCTCCCCTTCGTATATACTATATATAATTTAAGATGCTATACTTTAATAGCACCATTAAAAAGACTCGTATTAGGAAAAAATACATGTGTTGCAATATTGTCACACAGACTCAACAAAAGAACAAACGATTAATAATCAAAACAATTAAAGCCGTTAATCTCTCTCTCTCTCTCTCTCTCTCCCTCCCCCTCTCTCTATCTTCTCCCCCCCCCTCTCTCTCTCTCCGATAACGAAGCTAAAAAAAGGAAGCAAGGGAACAGTAATTCTGGGTTGTGAAACTGGAAAAGAAATGGAGAAATTAAAGGCTATAGTACAAGCCAAGCTGAGCGAAAATTTCAAAGTTACTGAGTCACCGTGGATGAAACCTAAGATAAAAATGGTCAATATTGGCGAAGAAGAAATGAAGTTGAATGATAATGACCCAGATAGCCAAGTCTGTTCGAACAGATTTTGCCAAACGTCTGCAAACGAAGGAAAACTGAATGTAGGATGAAGAAAGTGTCTGGTATTTAATCACATTAGTATTAAAAGATGTTTTAATATTAATGTGATTAAGGACGGCTGGCTGGGAGGATACTAAGTAAGAACTACAGCAGGAAGAGGATACAGCATTAGATATGAAGATAATGAATCATGCATAGTACTGTCGGAAACTGGATTGACTACTGGATTGAGGATTTGTACTGGAAATAGCTGAGAAAGCTAGTAAATATCAGACAAATCAATCTCTCTCTCTCTCTATTTTTGATTGTGCAACGCTGTTAGTTGAGGACATTACAATACAATTTCGTAGAACTATGAACTATGAGTGCACAAAAATAGTATATTGTAGGAAGGAGTAAAAATATATAATGCCTTACTATATATATAGCTGAGATAAAACGATGTAAAAATTGTGCTGTTTAAGCAATTATTAAAGGAGAATATTGTAATTAATGTAAACTAGATCTGTATTACAAATAGCTGAGAAAGCTAATAAAGATCAATCAATCTCTCCCTCTCTCTCTCTCTCCGTCCCCCCTCTCTCTCTCCCTCTCCCTCCCTCCCTGCCCCCCCTCTCTCTTTCTCTGTCACTTTGATGATGCAAATAATTAATTTTATTACAGAAGTAGAATAGATACCAAAGTATATAAAATACGATTATATAATCGAATCCAATTACACAAGCATAAATATATAATTTTATATATTAAATATAATTTTATTTATTATTAATATTTATATTAAATTATCCCTAATATTAAATAATATTAAGGATGTAGTTAATGCGCATAGATTTGGAGAGAGAGAACATTTCCTATGTGTGTATATAAGTATCTATTATAATAAAAAATATAACAAATACGATAAAATATATATACACACATGCATGCATGCACAAACGAATACCTCATATATGAAGTTCTCAAAGATCATTACATAATAATAAAACATTTTTCGATGTTTTGAGATTTACTAAGGCTCTTTATAAATGCAAAAAATATCGCTACTGAGCTTTCTAGGAAGAACAAAAGGTCCCTTATTTCTTTAAATTAAAGTCTATATAAAAAATACTACAAAATACTACAAAAGCTACAAAATACTATAAAAGAATTATATTGTCATTCTTAATATATACATATTTTTTTAAAGAAATTAATTGTAACATTTTTCGTGGACTTATACTTTGTAGATATAATAAGCACAATTAATTGTCCATAATCAAATTTGTAATTATAAGTTTAATTGATTATACTTAAATGACAAAAAATATATAATTAGGTTAAAAAATATTACGTATGTAAAACTATAATTATTCTAATTGGTGTGCATTTTAGTAAATTTGAGTGTAAAATAAAATGAAACAAGATGTCGCAAAAATATCGTATTTTTATTGAGGCAACGGTGGAATCGTAAAACAAGCTTCTTATAATGGAAACTTATAACCCTACAGTTGTGTGTTCGCTCACTAATCAGTTACGCATAATATATGAACATTTGTCTCGATAGAAAGAGTATCACCTTCTAATCACACATATGTATAAAATCGCGCGTATTGCTTAGAACTTAACTAATGATATAAGAAAAATAGAATACTTAATTATAAATATCTAATCAAAATTTCTTTTATACACAGTCGTAATACACAGTGCATTTAAAAAGTTCGGGAACTGATTTTTTTCTGGACATACTGACTGCGCTATCTCTTGGCTTACACTGGGTCTAGTTACTATGATGTCTCTTGAGTCTGCCATATTTTTTTTGCCGCCGTTGAGTCAATAGCTTAAAGTTTGCGTGCGTTTAAAATTTTTAAAAATTTTTTACGTTGTCACAATCTTCAAAATGGAACCGTGATTAAGTTTTGTTTTAAATGTGGAAAAACTGCAATAGAAACATATTAAATGATGCAAGATGCATTTGGAAAAGATTGTCTAGCGCGTAGTAAAGTGTTTAGGTTGGCATCGGCTCATTCAACAAAATTCTGCGCCGCCACAACACGCTGCTCTCTCTGCTCCGGTGTCCTCTGACCTCACACACATTTTTCTTTTGCCGAGCACGTCATGCACGATAGTGTAAACACTTCCCACACTAATGTTTAATTTGTGCAACAACATTTCGATCGTCAGTCGGTGATCTTGCGCGAGAAGCGCGCGCACACATTTGACATTCTCGTGGAAGAGCTTCCTTCTCTCGAATCATCCTCAAGCGTCTTACGGCCACTCTTGAACCGTGCATATCACAAGAACACTTTACTACCTCCTAGGCAATCTATTTCAAATGCATCTTGCATCATTTAATATGTTTCTGTTGCAGTTTTTCCATATTTAAAACAGAACTAAATCACGGTTCCATTTTGAAAATCGTGACAGTTTTTCGTGACAAAAATTTTTAAAAATTTTAAACGCACGCAAACTTTAAACTATTGACTCAATGGCGGCAAAAAAATATGGCAGACTCAAGAAGTATCATAGTAACTTGACCCAGGCCAAGAGATAGTGCAGTTAGTACGTCCAGAGAAAAATCAGTCTCCGAACTTTTGAATGCACTGTGTATAATCGCACAATACAAAACTTTCTTCCTTTAATAACTCCTAACCAGAAATATCTCTATTCCCTCTTGTTTTATCGCCGCTTATTCTAATTTTTTAAAAATTATCGCTCATAACATCTCTCCCATTAATTGCAACCAACTTGTTCATAGATTATTTTTTTACATCAAAAACTTGGATCAAGGCACTTGCACCATACTTTTTTTCGTAGTTTTATATCAATGTCGTTGTTTGTAAGGAAATATATATATATATATACACACATACATTTTACAAAAAATAAGTAATATTTTATCCAACACTAGTCCGTATTTAATATTATTATATTATATTTTTAACGACATTTATTGTAAAATGCACTCTAAAAAATATTGAAACGCACAGATTATCGCAACATTGTGTTTTTTCATGAACACATTACGTGTAAAGACATATAGAAAATATCTACCCTTGTTGTGGGATTATTGATTTTGGAAGCCCTATTTCTAATACATTTCACACGTAAATACACATACATGCACGCACATACGCATACAATGTCATTAAATTTTTAATAAAACTATGCGATTATTCGAACAATTATATTTTTGGCCGTGAGACAGTAAACGTATTGCCTATATTACAAAATAGGATAAACTTTTCTCGAGTATTCGCTGTTCTTCTGAATATTCAAAAGAAAAGTATAAAGAAAAAAACGAAACAGCTTTTACAGATTATGCATCATATTTTGAAATATGATATATAATATTTATTATAAACAGCCGAATAGAGAAAGACAGAAAAGGTATCATAATTTCCCGAAACTTGACAAACCCGATTATTTTTAGAAAAAAAAATAAGAAAAAAAGAAAAAGGAAAAAAATAAAAAGAGAAAAAAGGAAGAAAGAAAGAAAAAGATTGCAAAACTGCAAAGAAAGATTTATATAAGAAAAGATTACTCGTAAATGTTCATATATAAAAGATTCTTATATATATAATCTCTAGAAAATAAAAAATTAAAATTGTATCTTTTATAGAGACAATTAATATTTTATAGACAAGAGAAAAAAGATCGTTTACTCTTTTATTGCTATGCGTAGGAGCGTCAGGAATGACGTCGAAAATATGTCGGAGCACTAAATATATATACGCGCAATGATCGTCTCCCTTGAGCAATGTTCCATCGTAATACTCTTATCAAGTACTCAATCTCGGAATTTTTCTCCTTTGATCTTCCGTGATTTCTGTGATTCAGTCTATTAAGGAATATTTCTAACTTCTTGAATGACGATTCTCTGTCTTCTTTAATGATGATTTTTCACTATTTCTCATTAATCAATGCGGTGGAGGTCGCCGAATCATTACTATTAGACATGCCTTTTTGCTTGCCGGCGGCAGCAGTCTTTTTCTCCTCAAAGTGCCGCTTCCGATGTACTTTCATATTGTCTCGACGATTGAACTTCTTGCCACACTCCGGACAAGCGTGCGTCTTCTCACCATGTACATGGCGATGAGCGGCAAGATGACTCGCTTGTGCGAAATTCGCGCCGCATTCTTGGCACACATGCTTGCGCAAACCTTCGTGTTTTAATAGGTGTTCATTGAGAAATGCCTTAGACGCATAGCGATTGTTGCAGATATTGCATACAAACGGCTTGGGATTGGAGTGTTGCAGCACGTGCGCTTTAAATTTGGAAGCAACTTTGAAGGTCTTGCTGCATGTGTCGCACGTGTACGTGGTTGCGTGGCGGGTTTTAATGTGCTCGTTCAACACCGATAAGCTGGAGTAGAGATTGTAACAGAAGCGGCAACGAAAATTTCGCCGTTTTTTCATATGAACGCTCGCGATATGACCGAGTAATCGTGTGCGAAACGGAAAAACTTTACCGCAGTATTCGCATGCGAGATTCTGTGGTGGTAGATGCGACTTCATGTGAATCTGCAACGAAACCTTGTGGTGATAACTCTGACCACAATCTGTACAACTGTACGGTCGCACGCCTTTATGAACGTTGTCGTGTTCAGCTAGATAAAATTTGGATTTAAATCGTTTCGGGCATTTGGGACACTGTATAGGCCGAGGATTGGTGTGCGAACATCGGATATGCTTCATCACGTCGGACTTACAGACAAATTTGGCGTTGCAGACGACGCATGTATATTGTTTGATACCAAGGTGCGTCTTTACATGCACCGTGCATTTGTCTCGGCGTTCATAAAACTTGCGGCAGAGCTTGCACGCATAACCGTTCTGCGTACCGTTCATCACGTGCTCCACGTTATCGTCAACTTTAATCTCCTCGCCGTCGATCTTGAACAGCTCCTCCGGATTCTGCGTTGCCTCCAGCTGTTGTTCCAGCTCCGCTAGATCTTTAAGCTTTGCTGCCGCACTGCTATTCTTTGCAGACGTGCCGCTGAGAATGTCACTGATAATGCCATTCACCTCTACGCTGTTGTCGCTCTGCAAGAGACTTACAATCGCCGTGTCGACAAGACAATAGCCTTGATCGGGAAATACTCGCGCTCGCACTGTCGATACATCATCGTTTTGCTTCTTACACAACTCCACGGTAAAACTGATATCCTCGGCATCGTTATTCCGATTTCTCGTCTCCTTTACATAGATCTCAATATCGGGAGAACTAGGACCGATCTTCAATAATTTACTCAACGCCGAAGTCGGCAGCTGAATCGTTGATGAGGAATCTTGCTGTTGCTGCTGCTTCGGATTCTGTTTATCCGTATTCTCGTTGTTACTGTTATTGTTTATTGAACGAGCGTTGATATTATTTTCTACATTATTGTGACTTCTCAGCCTATTCGCTATTGGAATCTCCTCGTTATCTACCGTAGATGACGATGACAATGATGATGAGTCCGCGCTTTGTCTACTTCGAAGCCAACGAATTGGCGATGTTTCTGTTACATTTTGATCCTGTACTTGATTTTTCTCTATATTAATTTCATCGCTGTATCTGGAAAGTTGTTGTTGCTGACTGCGAAGACTCCTCAAAGTCTTCGAAACGATATTTTTCTTCTTTTGCTGCTCCGCCGAGTCCTTGACAATGACAATGACGTTAACATCGCTCTGGTTTTCCTCCACTTGGCTATCTCTAGTGGAATTAAGATTTTTTTCAATACTGTTGTTATTATCCGTCGACGATGTACACGCCGGGGAAGCTGATTCTTCGTTCTTTACCTCCGCCTGGAGAGAGATCGAATTAAAAACATACGAGTAGGTACCAGAATGTAATAAGTCCTCTATAATTCAGATAATAACGCGAGTAAATATTTGAGAGCAATCGCACAATTTCAAAAAATTCTTGTTTGGAATTTCATATTGTTTTATTAAGATATTTTTATATATTAAATCATATATATATAATACTGCATTTATTTTGTAGAACTTATAAATTTGTATTTATATTGTGTATCATTTGAGAGAAAAAGTGATATAAGATAGAAGAACTGATTATACAATCCAGAGAAAAGAGCATGTGATAAAAGAGCAATAGAGCGGTAGACAAAATATAAATAAATACAGAGACTTACAGACTCTGTTAAAGGCGGTAGATTGTACTGATCGCGTAACTTTTGTTGGGTGTGTAGACACTGCTCTTGGAAGTCACAAACGTATTCGACTTTGGCCACACATTCAACACAGATCGCCTTGGGCAGAGGGTCCCTCTCATCTATCTGCGATTCACAAACAGAAGCAATCTAAGTACTAAAAAAAATGTACTTGCCTAGGAAAAGACAACATATTGTTGTTATTCCGAATGATTTTCAGATACAATAACTCTCTTTCTCTTCTTTTTCTGTCTTTTACTTTATGAGATATCAGTCACATTATAAGACACAAACACTACCGCTCTGCTCTATAGATATAACCAGTTTATGACATATATTTACATTCTGGTACCCACTAAACTCCATGGTAACATCAAGTCCGGAGTTATTGACAAACTTAAATTTATAATTCACACAGTTATATTGTTTGTTACTTACAATTTTAAATAAAGTTCACTATATCCTTTTCTCCAAAGAGAATATTCACAAAAATTATCTGTACAAATATAAAAATAATTTGTACAATAATCGTAGCACATTTATGAACACTTGCACATTTAAAAATAAACACAGTATCTTTGTGTGTGTGTGTGTGTGTATGTGTGTGTGTGTGTGTGCGCGCGTGCGTGCGTGCGTGTGTGTGTGTTACGTATTATTTCTAACATCGCTCTGGTTTTTCTCCACTTGGCTATCTCTAGTGGAATTAAGATTTTTTTCAATACTGTTGTTATTATCCGTCGACGATGTACACGCCGGGGAAGCTGATTCTTCGTTCTTTACCTCCGCCTGGAGAGAGATCGAATTAAAAACATACGAGTAGGTACCAGAATGTAATAAGTCCTCTATAATTCAGATAATAACGCGAGTAAATATTTGAGAGCAATCGCACAATTTCAAAAAATTCTTGTTTGGAATTTCATATTGTTTTATTAAGATATTTTTATATATTAAATCATATCATCTGTCTGTTATACTGATATTTCTTAATGATGAATACTAAGTTTAATAATCAGAAGTAATAAGAAGAATTTCCAATTGTGTTCAAACAAGAGAATTTTAATATATTTTATTAATATTTGTCAACAAAGATTTAAAAACATAGCAAATAAATTGTTAAATACACGTTATTTATTTATTCATATGTATATTCTCTCTCTCTCTCTCTCTCTTTCTCTCTCTCTCGGAGCGGGACATAAACGCGACCGCGACGACCGGCTCTTCTTGGAAAGGAACCCGTGTCGAGGAACGTTATTAACGCATCCTAATTTTTATTCACGTTCGTGCGACCTCACGCGGTATGGATACTCTAGTAACAGGACCTGTGTCCAACGTAGTCACCGTACGCTAAAAACCATCTCACCGTACGCATTAAGGCCGTATTCGTTTCCGGCGTTTAACGTTAAATGCGGTCGTCTCGATTCTCTCAGCGGACGTAACGTTATATACACACACTTCCCAGACAGCACAAAACATCCTCAGGATCATCCTGAATATGTCCAGGATGGTTCAGGATATTTGTAGGATGTTTTAAGATATTATTATAAATATATTTTATGAAAATTTAATATGCATACATGATTACTTTCGGTTATGTAGGCTATTTAATATAATTTAGAAATTTTAAGTATTGTAATAAGTATTAATGTCCTATAAATGTCCCCTGGATAACCCCTGGATGTCTGCCCTGTCTATTATATTGAATGTCCTTTGGATTTCCAGAGGACATATACATGTGCAATTAATTGTTAAAATTAATTTCGTTTAATATTAATAATTGAATTTGATGCGCACATTTTCACATATTCAAAATTATTATTTATTTAATAATTTATGAGAAATGTTACTATGCGCAACATTCCAAAAACTTTACAAAAAATAGTATTCAACCGCTAGTTAGTTTGTTTACCGCTATGCGAAGCGCAAACTCGTATTTGAGATTTGGTCATGAGAATTATATAAAGCTTGCAAAGAGCAACTAACAGGAAATTAAAAATATAATTATTTTTTATCAGTTCAATTTCTGATGCAAGGTAAATATTTGAGAGCAATCGCACAATTTCAAAAAATTCTTGTTTGGAATTTCATATTGTTTTATTAAGATATTTTTATATATTAAATCATATCATCTGTCTGTTATACTGATATTTCTTAATGATGAATACTAAGTTTAATAATCAGAAGTAATAAGAAGAATTTCCAATTGTGTTCAAACAAGAGAATTTTAATATATTTTATTAATATTTGTCAACAAAGATTTAAAAACATAGCAAATAAATTGTTAAATACACGTTATTTATTTATTCATATGTATATTCTCTCTCTCTCTCTCTCTCTTTCCGTGCGTGCGTGCGTGTGTGTGTGTTACGTATTATTTCACAATAATTTTTCAATCAATGATGATAATGACATTAAAGCATATTTTACAAGAATTTTATTGATAAAGTTCGCATAAAAGATAATATCTATAGATTGCAATCTTATAAATTGTAATTTATGTATATTAGAATAATATATTAGAATAAGGAGAGATAATGTACAAAGTAAATTTTGTTATATTAACAAAATTGCTAACTCTAACAAAAAAATAATTAAACCAATGCTTTCAATATTACAATGTTAGTCAATTTTCTGTTAAAACTTAGGCACTAATACTATCATTAAATGTATCATATTACAAATATATACAATTATTTCATTAAAGTATAACAAACACAGAGATTACAATTTGTTAATTGAAAAAGTGTTTTCTATTTCTTAACAGAAGAAAGCAGAGAATAAAAATCAACAAGTATATATACATGGTGTCTCAGACTTATCACATCACCTGCTAATGGCAGATTCTTGAGATCATTTTTAAATGATTTTTTCTCAGCAAAAATGTCGAGGCATCAATAATTTTCATGTTATAAACGATTCAAAAAGAAGGGTTTTTTGCCAACTAAACTTTATAAAGTTAAAACTACATTCTTTAGTTAATTTTGAGATAGAATTTACTTTAATAGAGAGAGAGAGAATTTTAATTTAAGGCTTAATTACAAAGATATATGATGGAGAAAATTGGAAACTTGCAAAAAATAATGACCTCTTTCGACATTTTCGCTGAAAAAAAATCATTTCCAAATGATCTCAAGAATCTGCTATTAACAGGTGGTGCAATAGGTCTGGAACACCTTGTATAACAACAAAAGCAAGTTACAAATTTATTTTGACGAGTTATAAAAGTCACAAAAGTTTCAATGCTTTGTTTTTAGTTTACTATTTGCAAAATATGAAAAGCTTTATGCATGTGTGTGTGTGTGTAATAATATATTGTTCTTTGTGTACATATATAGACTACATGAGTATATATATATATATATGCTGCGCTATTATACTTTTGTCTGTAATTATTATGTACAACATTAAAGTTAAAAAAGAAATTCCCAAATTAATTATGATCAAGTCAAAACCTTGCGACTTAGTTGGAAACACTGATATCCTTAATATTGCGAATAAATATACTACCTCTTTTGTGCATCAACAAACGTGAAACATACAATATTAAGATATAGAACAAGTAAAATAAAAACATCCAAGCATGCAGTGCATATAAACATACGAGTTTCCCAAGTTTTGACAAAAAGAAAAACGTAGCAAGGAAAAAATTTTATTCTCCCTTTCTCTCCCTTGCATTCTTTTCTAATCTTTTAAATTCTTTCTAATCATCTAAAAGGGTAAAAGGACGAGAGAAGAACGAGAAAATCTATGCGAACTAGCAAGGCAACTCACCAGGATGTTGATATTCCTGTGGATCCTAAGACCCAGATAGCGTCTGACGCCCTCCTCGCCGAACACGTCGACGTAAAACCTCTCATTTTGGCCGCAAAGCCTGCACATTTTCGCCTCCCCCTCTTCAACATCCATTCTCGTTTATCTTGTCAGTGAATGCCTGTTTAGATATACTCTGGACTGATTTGAAGATAGATACGAAACGACAATGAGGACCGACGCCACCGCACGGGTGACGCGATTTCCACACTTTTCTTTCACGAATGTTTATTTCTTTTCTTTTTTTTTTGCGGAAGACACGATACGATTTATTTGGCAGCAATGTTAGAACGCACGTGAATAGAGATAGGAACTTGAACTATTACACGAGGAAGGGACGAAAATGGAAAAGACTACATTGGCGTTACTACTTACTACGACAATCCAAAGCCATGAAAAACTCTCGGAGAATAACCACATTCGAGCCAGACCACCGCTTGCGCCTTGCGCCAGGCACGAAGTATCGACCAATCAGCGACAATCAAGATATAGCGTTTTCGAATGAACGGGTTAGTGCCGGTCTACAATAGTGATTTAAGCTCTAAGCCTTTTTTTTTATCTGCACTTTACTACACACAGACTTCTATATATTACTAGACCGCTAACTCCCTTAAGCCCGTATCAGACTACGCATTGAAGATTGAGATTGAAGATTGGAGATTGAAATTCGACTAATCAGAACAAAAGGGACTAAAATTTTTTTGTCCTGATTGGTCAAATTTTAATCTTAAATCTTGAATTTCAATCTTCAATGCGTAGTCTGATACTGGCTTTATATACTGTACCTACATGAAGCTAGCCGTCAGTAATT